ATTGTCAAAAAGCCTGTGTTTTTAGGGTTATTAACAAAGTTCATGTACTCAGACCAGTAATATTTGGGGTCACAAGTTTTTGCCYTGGATATTTTGTGGGTCAGAAGATAAATGTTTGGGAACCACTGATCTATGGCAGTTTGCAAAATGGATGGAATTTGGAAATTATGGTAAAAATGTGATCATGAGAGAGGTTAACCAGCATTTAACGGAGAGTGGTAAAAACCACGTGACCTCCCTATACCCTCACCTTTCCTTCTCACCTTGCCACCAATATAGATTTCCCCTCCACACCGCCACCAGTGGTAGAGCAAAAATATAGGTCAAAGTGTCAAACCATATATACACAAACACTGCCACCAAACCAAACTGAACTATGAAAACTAAATAAGAAGAACCCAAAACTATACCCAAACCACCAGGAACTACAAATGGCTCCTATATAACTGTCTGCTGAGATCTCAACATTAGTTCTCACTCAGTGAAGCTCTTTTCAGATTAAAAACACCTTTGAGGAAATGGTTTTTCAGATGCCAAGTAAAATGCATCATGGCAAATCCTATTATAAATAAATATTGTCCTGGAGAACTCTATAAGGAGCAGGTCCTTCTACGTTAATGTACTTAAACTCAGTGTGTTACTAAAAAGATGACAGGAGCTTTAAAAATGGAGCAAAGACTTGTCCAACGCTCCCATGAGGCAAAGCAAACATCATGAACAGGCCTCTGTCTTCACGCTGACACTTTAAACTTCCCCCTGCCGCCTGCGTCCTCTCACTGTCCCGTGGTCGGCTGTGGTCCGCTCTGATTACCCCCTGCACCACGTGACCCACTCCCCGGTGCAGCTGCCTGCCGTGTGATTCCAGAGATGCCACCAGCTCCCTCGCAACAACGAGCTCCGGCAGACAGAGACCAGCCTGTTGGACAAGTGGGAGAAACGGCAATCCTGTTGGCGGGATGAGACCGCGACACATAAAATGAGGAAACAGAGATTATAGGGGAAGTTCCCAAACACAACCTGTGTATGAAAACTGATGGGTATTTTTTGTAAAATGAACTAAATAAACGTAAGATAAGTGAAAGCAAAACATTAGGCTTGTCCAAGTCCTGTCAAACAGGCTTTACAAGAGAAGAGAAGGGAAACAAAGTCAAATATCTCATGTTAGTGGTTCAAATCTTTAAAGTGGAGTTCAGTGGAAAGGTTATTTATTTTACTTATTATAGCTAGCTCTTTCGTTGACCTCAGTTTGGATGATAACAAGTTGACCAGACTGACGGGCTAATGGTTCATTCTGCTGCTTAAAAAGACCAACATGTTGAGAAACGCTGAGGCGTGTGTGTTACAAACTACTCCCAGCTACCTCACCAAATTGTAGCTGTCAAAATGACAGAGCTGTGGCGGCCATCTTGAATCGGTTTGACTCCAAATGTTTAAGTGCATTAAAGTCATTACTTTCTCAAAATTTCAATATAAAATTGCTCATTAGTTAATGAGAAACTGTGCCAACACTAACAACCGTACACGGGCCAAAAACGTATTGTCCCTCACAGAATGAAAAACAAACTTTTCTCATGTCAATGCAGCGCTCTGAAAATTAAACTGGGAGCAAAATTGAGTAACAGACAGAGGCGACGGGAGGGGGGGAGGTTTCACCTTACCTGCCTGCTCAGAGCCCGTTTACTACCAACACACACACACACACACACACACACACACACACACACACACAC